TCGTCTGTGTAGTCAAAGACAGAACAGTCAGCATGCTTTGCTCAAACATTCGCCATGACATTAGAACTGGTACACTGCTGTCGCTTGCGAAAACATAATGGTGGCGCTATGGGTGGAAACCTGCAGAAGGGGCGGTAATGTTATAATAAGATCCCCTTTCTACATCACAGGGGCAAGCAGAGAAAGGCTTACCAAAAAAAATTTACTGGGTTAATCTTTTTCACTTTCCTGGGTTGGTAGATGCACCGGAGACCCGATTATAGCACTTAAACACAGAAAAAATCTGATTTTCATTATATGTCACCTTTAAACGTGGCTTCTGTTTTAGCATATCTGATCTCTTCTGGAAGCTGGTTCCAGCTGCGGGTGGCATAATAGAAAAAGCAGACTCCCCTTGTTTTGAGTGAACCCTTGGCATTTCTAACTGACTTGATCCTAATGATCTGAGTGGTTTATATTCAGTGAGCATATCTGCAATGTATTGAGGTCCTAGTCCATTGAGTGATTTATAAACAAGTAATAATACTTTAAAATCAATCCTAAATTAAACTGGAAGCCAGCGAAAGGAACTGAGGATTGGTGTGATGTGCTCAGATTTTCTGGTTCGGGTCAGAATCCTGGAAGCAGCGTTCTGGATGAGCTGCAGCTGTCTAATGGTCTTCTTGGGAAGGCCAGTGGGGAGTCCATTACAATAGTCCACCCTGCTGGTGATAAAAGCATGAATGAGTTTCTCCAAGTCTTGACTGGAAACAAAACATCTAATTCTTGCAGCGTTTTTGACATGATAATATGCTGATTTTTAGTTATTGCTTTGACATGACAACTGAAACTAAGGTCTGACTCCACCAAGATTCTTGACTTGAATTTTTGTTGTTTAACCTCTAGAGTCAAGGTATGCATTCACCTTGAGAACTTCATCTTCATTTCCAAATGTAATGACTTCAGTTTTCTCTTTGTTTAACTGATGAAAGTTTTGTTAATTTCATCAATGCATTGGCAGAGGGAATCAGTGGGGCTGTAGCCTTTTGGTGTTAATCTGGGTGTTATCTGCATAGCCACGATAGGCAATTTGGTTGCTTCTCATTGTTCTTTAAGTCCTGCAAGTTGCAATGTGAGGCCTCCAAGTATCAGATTTGTTGGTCCAGCACGATGCTCAATCTGACTGAGATCTGGGAATTTGGAAGTCATTTGGAAGTGCCTTATCCTGTTGAAAGAGGCCACTGCCATCAGTGAACACCGTTGCCATGAAGAGATGTTCATGGTCGGCAGTAATCTTTAGGTAGGTGGTACATGTCAAAGTAGCATCCACATGAATGTCAGCATCCAACATTTCCAGCAGAACACTGTCCAGAGCAAAACACCGCCTCCCTCTGCCTTCTTCCCATAGTGTATCCTGCTGCCATCCTTTCCCCAGGGAAATGACACACGCATCTACCATCCAACTGATCTAAAAAAAAAAAGGTTCATGAGACCAGGCAACCTTTTTCCATTGCTCCATGGTACAGTTCTGTCACTCACATGGCCATTGTAGATGCTTTCGGTGGTGGACAGAGGTCATCATGGCCACTCTGACTGGTCTGTAGCGACACAGCCCCCATATTGTGATGCACTGTGTGTTCTGACAGCTTTCTATAATGGCCAACATTACGTTTTTCAGCAATCTGAGCTATAGTAGCTCA